GTTTGATGTTCTGTGTATGAAACCCAAGGTAGATAAATCGATAGAGACAGTAACTGAATTAATAATTACCTAGGGGGACGGCAAGGGAGGAGGGGGGAATGGGGAACTAACGACATGAGGAGAAGAAAATGGTCTAAAATTGATTGTGGTGATGATTGTGCAATTCTTCTTATGATTGAACAATTAAATTATAGGATGCACAAAGTATGTACCAATAAAAATATTTTTAGAAAGAATGGCTTCACCAAAAATGTATCTTTCTATAATCCAATGGATCATTCTTTCCTGTGTGCCTTCTGGGATTTGAGTTATTAGTGGAAAGGTTGTAAGAACATTCACCCATGCTTATCCTTGGATCACTATGAGTTAGAATCAACCCAATGTCCATGAGTTTGGTTTGAATATGGTTTTGCATTTCGTACTTAAAATTTTTAAACTGTTTTATTGGTATTTCATCTCTATATCCTACAATTTAATAGTTCAATCATATCAAGAAGAGTTGTACAATATCACCGCAATAAATTCTAGAACTTTTTCTTCTTCCTTGTACTCATTGTTATTAATGTAATTTTTCAATTGTGGCAAAAATATACACAACAAAACATTCTCCAATTCAACAACTTCTATATATATAGTTTATTGCCATTGGTTGTACTCTTTGTATTTTACAACCAATATTGATATCCTTTTCCAAACTATTCCCCCACCATTAACATAAACTCTATGCCCCCTAAACAATAATTCTTCCTTCTTAACCCATGGTCACCATTGGTCAAGTTTGGTTTCTTTTATTTTAGCAGTTTTCTTGGTATAGTATTCACATATCATACACATCCATAGTTAAATCGCTTTTAAATTTCTCATATGCTGTAGTCTATAATGCTACTTGGTAAAAAGTATGGATTCAGCTTAGTCTTCTTTAGAATAGAGTTCAGTGACCCTGAGAACTGTTTTCAGAAGACAATCTACATACACAGACCACTGGAATGATGATTCTGAAGGAAGAAACCTGAGTTGTATTGGGGATGAGGGAGATGTGAAAGGAGTGTGGATATTAAACAGGAGATTGCCATTGTGGGTGCTGAGGAGGGAAAAAGGCAACTCAACAGGTAACTACCAGGTACCAACAGGGCAAGGAACAGGCAAACCCAGTAAACAAGCTAGACACACAGCCTGCCAGGCTCCATGCCCCTTTAAAGCTCCTTACAAGCACTGTGTGATTAGGTTTTACAATCAGAGCTTATAGTCAGTAATAAGGAAATGGAAGTAACTGTTTGGTCTAAGGAAATTCAATTTAATTACCACATCTGACCAAGGAAGATTTTCAAATATAAATAAGGATGTTATTGCGCTAGCTGCCCTGGAGTAAGCCCCTGACTCATGGCGACCTGACGTGCTAGAGGAGAACTACTTCTTAGGGTTTTCTTCCTTTTTTTAAAATTTTAAGCAATATATATATGTATATGTAT